AGGACAATGCTAAAAACAAGCGGATCTCCGACTTGCAGCACCAAGGATACCTTGATGACATACTCCAGCAGACAAATTAAAATATTAATGAATCCACCAGATTGGCCCATGAGCCACCGCCTTCTGGGCATACGACTCTAGGCAAAACACATACATGAAATTGTGCAGTTGAAATTCAGAAATTCAAAGTTCAAAAATTGCCAAGACTTAAAAATATCTTATAATAATTCTCAAATTTCGTGCAACATTTTACAGTTGTAACGCAGGGCTTGGCGTGACCAGCCGATTGATTGAACCAGGCCAGTTCAACCACCCGTCTAGGTGAAGTAAGGGGCAAAGTGGTGTGTTGGGCAAAGGAACACTGTTCCTGGAACTAATGGCCTCAACCACCAGCCTCCCGTCCTCCACCGACACAGGGGCGCAACCAACGGCAAACTGGTTGGTGGACCAAATATCCCCCCGGGTCCACAACGGGGGGTCGAAGAGCGCTTAGCGTTACCCAGCACCCACCACAAGTAGGTGGCTCTTCATGGGTGCCCAGGCAGGTTCGAAACCAGTACTCGGGGAAGGTGGCCATCCTGTACAACTGGGTCCTGCGGCACCGGACGATAGTACGGGACAAGAGCGACATGCTGTAGAATATCAACCTGAACGTTCCGGCGCGATCGATGAAAGGCATCCTGATCCTCCCCGTGGAGGATTACGAGCCGTTCTGAAGGGACAGCGAGAAGTTTTTCAACCCCGAGATCACAAATGTGGAAGTGACCATCGAGGACGTGCCCGACCAGCTGTTCAGCCAAGGTATGAGGGCATACCAGCAGTGGGATAAGATTACGAAGCTACCGACCCGGCACCCACACGTCATCAAGGACCTGGATCTATCCTCCGTGCAGGTTGGGGAATACGTGACCACCAAGTATGTGCTGTGGACATGCGATACACGGATGACGACAGGCTACACGGCAGCGGACGCCGCGTTGACAACAGCAAGGAGGGGATAACCGTCCAGATCACCAAGAAGGCTCAACCCTCAGGCAAGTTGAAATTATATCTGTACGGGATTATGGATGCGCAGCTTAATATAGACAATGGGAGATTCGTGCAAGCCATCTATTGATCTACCCCGCGACCCACACTACGCCATAGTGTGTGGCAAGACGGGCTGTGGGAAGACCGTTTTCGTGCTGGATATGCTGGCGGGGTACTACTGGGACGTGTTCGATAATATATAGTTATCATGTGCCCTACTCTGCGCATAAACAAGACATACATGGAGAGGTCTTGGATGATGACGGACCCGGACGTACACAGAGTCGACCCGGGAACATGCCTGCAGGATTGGCTGAAGGCTTATCACAGGAAATTTAAAGGGGAGTCGATGCTGTTCATCCTGGACGACTGCAGCGCTAACAAGGAGATAACAAAGAAGAGAGACATGCTATCGTACCTGGTCTTCCCCGGCCGGCACGCTCAGCAAAGCGTCTGGGTGCTGACGCAAAAATTCAACTCGGTGTTGAAAGACCTCAGGGAACAGACGCGATGTGTAGCCTTATTCCACTGCAAGGACAGGGATTCGTTCAAGGAGTGCTTGAGAGAGAACGATGTGATGAGCAAACTAGAACAGGAACGGGTGAAGAGGCAGCTAGCCGAGAGGAGACGAAGCATGCTAAGCTCATGCTCAAGACCGACCAACCCATGGCTTACCAAGTGCTTAGCAATGCTTAGCAAATGCTTAGCAAATGCTTAGCAATTAACGGTTACAGTTCTATATAGATGTCAGCTTTTGAAGTGCTCATCGTGTGTAACTTAACCTTCATCTCGCTATGTTTCGCGTGCATCGGGTATTATATTATTAGAATTAAAAATTGCTTGTTACATTACAGGATGGAGTGCGACAACCTGCTCGAACAACTGTTGGTGGAGGTTGATAAGCGAGAGGAACTGGTGGACGACGACAAGCGAGAGAAACTGGTTGCGCTGGCGGTCGGCAGCAAGGCCAAACGATACGTTGGGGACTACGCTCCAGATAAAATCCAGAAACTACCCGCCGATGAGGTCGATAAGCTGTATGCCAGATACGAAACCCGGCTCGGGGCCGAGATGACGAAAACTATAGGGTCGACCATGATGCAGATCTACACCGGTTTGGCATCGTACTTCCTCCCCATTCCTCCAGAACGCCGACTTTACCTGTGGGAGGATCTCGAGAAAGACCCATTCATCGAACACGCTTTGGGCGCTGTCAGCTTCATGTTGTACCACAAATACGGTATGTTTTTAGCCCCGATGACGGCGGCGATCATCACGGCAAAGCATTGTCAATTTAAAGAGGGGAAAAATAATAATAATAGTATACAAGATGGATCAGGAAGTGACAACACCATTGCCAACACAGGGGGAGGAGATACCGGCACAAGTCACCAAGAAGAACCCTAAGAAAGTCGCCATAAGAGTAACTACACTCTTTGGGTAGCTGTAGGCACAACTGCTGCTGCTGCTCTCTCATTATTCATGTTATATAATAAATCCCCAAAGCCAACCCCACCCCCAGCCCTAGCCCCACAGAAACAAGTAGAGGTAAACCCCCATATTATGTTATAATTAAATATATATTTCTATATCATATACATCATGTCTGAGGGGAAAACGTTCGTTAACGAAGCATACCACGCCACCGTGTTCGCCAGCCTAGCCGTAGCATACACTCGGTTGCCCAAGATGGTCCTCAAACAACCGACTATCAAGCTCGATTTGACCTGCAGGATATGGGCATGCTCATCATGAACCTGGGTATGGCGATGGTCACCAAAGACATCCTCGTGAAACAAGGGATCATACCGGGGAATATTTTGAAGTAAATATAGGTATATATAGGATGGCTACGATCGCTATGATGGTCGGCGGGGCTTTATTCAACGCCCTGTCATTTTCCGGGAGCAATTACCTGTCTCGAAACTATGGGATTCGCGGCCAAGGTAGAAGCGGGACGAAAATGTCACGACATAGCCGTGGGAAAACTGCAAGCCGCGTAAACCGAGTATGCGAAGAAGACGCGAAGATTCGATTACATTAAAGATCGACTCAAGCATGAAAACCATGCCGTTCGAACGTTCAAGGAAGTCGACGACGCCCAGAAAGAATACTACCTGCTGACCGGCAAACAGTTCGAACCCCTCGATGAACCCACACTCTCCCAGTACTACGCACCTCCCCCGGGGCAAAAGGACCGAGAACTGGCCTTCGGCGTGATGCGTGTTAATCGCAAAGCAATTAAACTAAGTACCCATATGAGTATACCAAAGATGAGACCAACCCCGTACTGATGCAAGTACATGCTTATGGGGAAAACTGAGACCCGTGGTAGGAGATGCAGGACTGAGGGGTACTACTGTTTTTATAGGAGGTGTTTCATGAACTACACGTGCTCCGTGTGCGGCATCAGAATGAAATGCCACTACTGCCTATGTAAAGCCCAAGGGGCAAACGTAGTCAGGCACCAGCTTATCTACGAGAAGAAAAAGGACTACATAAACGAACGTAGGCGCCTCCTCAGGATGGAAGTGTAAGGGCCCTCGTTATTTTTGGTTCCCCTTGCCGGAGGCCCAAGTAAAAACTGTGTACACCTAGGTATAATGATGCTTGCGTTCGTGCAAACTACCATAACCCCGAAAGGTTACCTGAGAAGCTGGCGGATGAATATAACCGAATGAATACCTCTGATCACCGGTATACTCGAAGAGGAACTGAATGGCCTGGGGCGCTTCAAATTTCGGTTCACATTGGAAATGACATGGGGTGTGAGGGGCGTCAGGTATACTTTCCCCATCACAGGTGGGCGAAAAAAACCGACTCCACCTGAGCTGGGTAAGTACCTCAACACCTCATTACAAAACATACAGGACCACTACCCCTAGGATAAGTACAGAATCAAAACGGTCTGCCTAAGCATAGCCGATTACAATGCTGAAGTGGATCTACTGGTACCAGCCCTCCACCTGCTCATGGCAAAATTCCACTAAGGCGCCTTTATTTTTTTACCTAGATAAGGCTGGAGGAGTTACCTCCCTTCCCTAGCCGGTGACCCAATTAGAGATTGGGTTTACATCTGAGTATAACAATGTCTACTGTCCTGGAGCTACGGTTCGTGCGGACTGAACACGCTATAGGTAACTACCTGAGGGGCTGGCAGATGAATGTAGGCCAAAACATAGATATCAACGACGTCAGCCCCTGATCGCTGGCAAAGTCAACGAGGAACTGACCAACCTGGGGTGCCTCAAATTCCAGATCACGGTGAAAATGTCGCTTGATAAACAGCAGACGGACGGTGCCATTGAGTACGTTCAGCCTTACTTCAGAGTTAAACAAGAAGTCGCGACTCAACCCGAGACGACAGACGCGTCCATTTACACCTCGCTTCAGCAAATACAAGAATGCCTGGAACGCTTCATGCACAGGGGTTCCGGGTGGGCCGTGGACAAAAGCGATAAGGTCTATCTAGACATAGCTAACTACGTACCGTTCAGAGGCGGATCGTACCTAGACTTACCCCCCACTACAAGAAGAAACAAGCCATGGTCAATGTCAAAAACAGAAGAGACGATTGCATGAGGTTAGCAATCAGGTCAGCCTTCTTTCCAGCTTACGTTAATTCGAACAGACCTTCGAGCTATCCCTAAGATGACGGACTCAACTGGGACGGTATAGACGAACCCACCCCCATATCTCAGGTCACCAAAATCGAGAAACAGAACCCCATAGCCATCAACGCCTTTGGGCCCGAAGGCAACAAAACGATCATGCACAGGATCAGTCCAGTGACCGAGGGTCGGTGATCAATATATTCATGATCCAGCAAGGTGACAAGTATCACTACGCGTGGACACTTCAGCAGGCTGTTGTACGACCAATCGACAAACAGAGAAAAGAGACACTTCTGCGAACGGTGCCTGCACAGCTTCACCGGGGCCGACCTGCTGGAATCACACTGGGAGGATTGCCTAGGCGTGGGGCAGACGGCCATGCGAATCGACATGCACAAGGAAGGCGACAACACCCTAAAATTCGGCAACCACAAGAACCAGATGTCCGTACCTTACATCATCTACGCCGACTTAAAGCCCTTGTCAAACCTGTTGACATAGGGCCGTCCCCCAACACACACAAAACGCAGGAGCACGAGGCCAGTGGGTTCGGGTACATGGTCGTCCGATTTGATGGAGAAACGAACGCTCCCATGGTGTCCCAACACGGCTGAAAAGTTTCTGATGTGCTTGCAGGAAGAGAAAACTATCAGGAAGAGGTTGTACACCATCGTTCCCATGCGTAAGACCCAAGCCGACCGGCGAGCCCACGGCTGCAGCACTCACTGCCACGTGTGTGACTCACCCCTGGATGATGATTCGGTGAGAGATCACTGTCAGATCACCGGGGGAGGCGCCGCTCACAGCGTGTGCAACTTCAAGCTCAGAATCAACCCCAAAACAAACAACATCCGTGGGGTCTTCCACGACTTGAGAGGGTACGCCTCTCACTTGATCATGCAGGACATCGCGAGGGTTGACGGCAACCTGATGTGCATCCCCAACAACATGGAATGAATGGAGAGATACATCTTCTTCTCCCTGAACGGCCTGAGGTTCATCGATTCAGTTCAGTTCCTGCTGTCGTCTCTCAATAGTTTGGTCAAGGCCAACGATACACCAATACACCGACGCCGAGACTCGACCCCTGCTGATGAGGAAGGGTGTTTACCCCTACGAGTACATGGACAGCTGGGCCAAGTTCGCCGAGACCCGACTACCCCCATCGACTGGTTTTACAGCAACTTGACCGACTCGGACATCACCCAGGACGATTACGGCCATGCCCAGAATGTTAGGGAGAAACTGGGCTGCAGGACCCTGAGTGATTACCATGACTTGTACTTGAGAACGGACGTAATCCTGCTGGCTGACATGTTCGAGACGTTCAGAAAGACGTGTTTCAAGCAGTATCAACTCGATCCCGCATGGTACTACACCAGCCCCAGTCTCTCTTGGGATGCCTTGCTGAAAAAGACCGGAGTTAAGCTGGAATTGCTCACCGATTACGACATACACCTGTTCAACGAGGATTTCCATAGCAACCAAACGCTACGCGAAAGCTAACAACGAGTATGTGAAGGGCTACGACTCTAGCAAGCTCTCCACCCACATCCTCTACCTCGACGCCAACAACCTGTACGGCTGGGCCATGAGCCAGTATCTACCCACCGGGGGATTCGAGTGGGTGCCTGAGATAGACGTCATGAGCATACCTCCGGATTCGAGGAAGGGTTACATACTCGAAGTGGACTTGGAGTATCCAGCAGCATTACACAAAATCACACAACAGCTACCCACTGGCTCCAGAACGTTTGATGGTGGACCCGGACTGAATGTCTGACTACAAACGGAATTTGCTTGGGGGTAATAAGCCGGCCAACGTTGAAAAACTCGTACCCAACTTGATGGCCAAAACCAAGTACATCATTCACTATTGCAACCTGCAGCTGTACCTGCCGCTGGGTATGAGGCTGGCTAAAACCCATAGGGTGCTCAAGTTCAACCAAAGCCCCTGGATGGAGCCCTACATCAGAATGAACACGGACCTGTGAAAGAGGGCCACCAGTGACTTCAAGAAGAACCTCTACAAACTCATGAACAACTCGGTGTTCGGTAAGACGATGGAGAACCTGAGGAATTGCGTGACCGTAAAGCTGGTCCAGTCAAAAGAGGAAGACAAGCTCAGGAGACTGATAGCCAACCCGGCATTCAACCGGGAGCAAGATATTCACCGACGGTCTGGTGGCCCTGCACATGAGGAAAAGCCACATCAAATTCAACTGGCCCGTCTCCTTGGGGATGAGCATCCTCGACCTCTCCAAGCACCTGATGTAAGACTTTTACTACAACGAGCTCAAGAAGCAGTACGGCGACAGGTGAGAGGTGCTGTACACGGACACGAATTCCCTGCTGATAGAGATCCGAACCGAGGATGTGTACGAGGACATGAAGAAACACATGCACCTGTACGACACCAGCGACTACGCCAAGGACCACCCCATGCACAGCACGGTTAACAAAAAGCTCCTTAGCAAGATGAAGGACGAGTGTGCTGGCACGCCGATCGCCGAGTACATAGGCTTGAGGCCCAAGATCGGGGAGATCCGAAGGCGAAGGGGGGTCAAGAAGTACGTGGTGAAACAACACATCAGACACGCCAGGTTCAAGGAAGCCCTGTTCATGACCCGCACCTTCAGGCATCAGATGAACACGCTGAGAAGCGACAGACACAGGATAAACTGATAGACTGACGATAAACAAGCATTGGATAGCCATCGACGGGATCAACACGGGCATGAAAAATTGAACTGAAAATAGACGTATGTATACGATGTCACGACGCCTTGAGTCCATTTACTACAGCCCGCTTGGGTACTGGAAAGGGGCTAGTGCCATACATAAGCTTGCCAAAATGGCGAGATTATCCCCGGACAAGGCCAAAGCATGGCTTGAAAAACAAGCCCTGTGGCAGATCTACCTACGTACCTAGAAGAAAGTTCGGTGTGTCAACACCCAATAGCGTCCACCAGGCCGACCTCCTGTTTCTACCCCACGACAGGAGGTATAAGTATGCGCTAACCATCATTGACGTGGCTAGCCACTACAAGGAAGCTGAGCCCTTAACCGTGAAAGATTCGGCCCAAGTAGCCCGCGGGTTCGAGCGCATATACAAGCGCAGTCCTCTGACGTGGCCCACAGAGCTGCAAGTTGATCCCGGACGGGAGTTCATGGGTGCCGTGACACAACTGCTAAGCTGCTACATGGCGTCCAAGTCAGGCGCGGCACGGCCGGCGGGCTCATCGCAGCCAAGCCATAGTCGAGAGATTCAATCGGACTTTGCCGAGCGCTTATTCGGGCACCAATATGCAAGAGAGATGGCCAACACGTGGAGTCGATGGACGGAATAGGTAGCGCGGCTACCTCAAGTGGTGTCGGCTATCAACCACGAAACCACTCGTCTCACCGGCAAGAAACCGGCCGTCGCTATCAAACTGAAATCAGTGACAGCCGAACTGGCTGCACAATTGCGTCGGAAGGAGGAACAGATACCCGGAGGTAATAAAATTATGGGCTCGAGCCGTAGATGCATCCAGGGTATAGTAGAGATTTATCAGAACGTATAGCCTGGAGATTATCGAGGATGCATTAAGTGCGTAGTTCAAGCTAGCACCGATTCTTTGACGAGATATTCCTATCGCGTGAGATGATGAATATCAGATGAACTAAGAAATATTCCCTCTTCAAGGTCTGAAGAAGTATGGTGTTCAAGAAGTATGGTGTTCAGACTGGTTGAAAGGTCCACTCGAGTATATATTACTATGCCATTTATACGTATATTAATGTTCAGAGATAGTTTTCAAATATGAGAGTTACCGAAAGTACTTTCACCTATTTGTCGTTCCCCTTTTTGGCAATATACAACTCACAGTTGTCTATGCATTGGTTCTATTAAGAGTCAAATTGAACGAATCTTTGGAAATAACCAAAGACGAAATTGTGTTATGAAATGATTAACAAAGCAAGGGTGTTTGTTTGTGTGTTGTTTAAAGTCGCACTCAGCAACTTTCCAGCTATATGACGGTGGGCTGTAAATACTCGAGTCTGGACCAGACACATTTACCTTATTAGTGGCCATGCCAAGCAGCAAGGCGAGTTCACCTCCCTGAGAGGTACCAACTACACCGATCCCTCCTTGCCGTACACTTGGATGAGAGGCAAACCAGTCTACAGCACCCTGAATGAAAGACAAATAAACACAAATTTGTCATTTGGAATACCGCACCGGCATATTTCAGGTTTGTATTGAGGGTTTGAAAGCCATGAGATGATTTATTGAAACAGTTATCATAACCTCTAAAATTGTAAGCAAACTTTGAAATAAAAGATCATCGTGAATTTAGGCTGCAGGCACTTTCAAATACATCCCAGTTGAGCGTGCAAGAACATACCAGAATGTAATCAAAGTCAAAGTCAGCCAATGTCGGTGGGAGATCGTCATATCCCAAAGAAAGGAAGAGCATAGGAAGTGAAACCTCTGGACGCCAACAAAGCTGCACGGAACTCGAATTTTGAGCATTTTCGTCATGAAAATATTTGAATGTTTTAATTGTCTTTGAAGAATGAGACAAGTGAATTTTCTGACAATGTTACATCATTTTGAACTTCGAAGATATCTATAAATGAGAGTTCATTCATATATAAAAATAATTAGAGTACTTTTATAGAAACTCATCCAAATCACTTGGGATTTAATCGCATACAAGTCACAATTCACTATTATCCTGTATAACCCAAGCTGCATATGACGCGCTAGGAGGTTATAGTCACATGCACTACTATAGATTTATAATTTCATTTAGTCACGATATGGCTCAAATATTGCTGATGTGACTTGACATCTTAACTCACTCACTCACTCACTATAGTCACATGAGTTATCCCACCGGGTAACCATTTTTTGCTGGATGAACATAGGCAGTTGTGAACAAACTGACTAAGATGAGACGACATGTATCACATATGCTTCTTTGTGGGGCGGGACTGAAGTCCTAAAAACTCTCAGGAGTCAATCTGCTAAATACGATTACCCATCCCAGGACTCTATGCGCCCAACGTTGCTTAGCTGATTTGTGAACTCAGCTTTATGCACAGGACCCTACACCATAACATAAGTTGAGTTGAGTTGTATTAACGTCACATCGATTTCTTACAATAAAATGATATTAGATTGAAATAGAAAAAATAGCCAATTTTGTGATCTTCTGTATTTAGGTGCTCTTTAATAGAAGCCTCACGTTCAATATTAGTTATCTAAGTAATTATCATTCAGCCAAACTTTAACGTGTTACTTCATGTGTATATTCTGCCGAAAACCCTGCTGACAGATCGTGTTTGAAATAATTCCAGCCTTGCTGCAAGATATATTGCACCTTTAAACGCAAGCAGAAACTTCAAACACTGGTTTCTTGACACGTTCAGGTAAATCTAATACTGCCGAACCTGGGCAGGCATGGTAGTTACCTTCAGGCAAGAAGAGAGTTCCCCTTAGGGAACCTTCTCGCACGACTGTCCTCACAGCTTCGTGTTTGTACCATCGTTCTAGCTCCTCTGTTGCTAGAACTACTGGTGTGGCCAGCTGCAGGTCTTCAAGGGGAATGTGGCCATCAATTACAGACAGTCTGAAGACAAGAGGTGTCGTCACATCTCCCTTTCTAAGAAGTAGATCCTTTGAAATCCCTGGAACAGGCTTCATACTCCACAAGAGTCCCATGCTATCATGGCCTGTATAAAACCCACATGCACCATCGTTACGGAGTACGTTCATTGTGGTAAGGCTTTGTCATGATGCACATGGCAAACTGATGGCGATTGTCGAATTGGCTGGGTATGTGTAGGCTCAAATCATTTTCTTCCAGGTATCAAACTAATTGGTGACATGACAAAAAGAAAATTAAAGATACATTAAAATAAAGATAATTCTTTGAGGACAAGTTCTAAAATGAACTGAAAAATATCCAGAGTGGGCTAGCACTATAAAACCAGCTTCAGTCTGGGCTAGTACAAGCAGCCGCACACACACATACACACGTATGCACGTCGTCTAATGAGCGAAATATTCTCAAGCACGACGTTGAACCCAATTTCTCTTCACCTCACCTCACCTCACCTCACAAGTGTCTCAGCAAAGCTCGAGTCATGTAAATCTGTTTTTCACTTACCCTTGCATGTTCCCCCAGTTGAAGCATGCTCAGCTATATCGACTTGTCCCTGTTGTTCAGCTTGAAAATGGCCACATGAGCTGAACACGGCCTTTCCTTCCTCCACCTATGCCTGCACCGTCACTCGCTGTAGTGGACGAAGATAAGTGACTTTGATGGAGACTCTTTCGTCAACAAGTGCCACACGGGGATTAATACGGAAATAAGTCTTAGTTGAATTTGGGTGGCCCTGGGTGCTGATAAATTGCACATTTGTCCTAGTATAATCCAAACACAATCCAAACAACACGTCGGCAAATTAAGAGTATGCAAAGATCATCCACTATGTACACGAGGAACACAAATTTATGAACTGGAACTTTCACATCCGAAAAAAATATCAAATGCAAGCTGGCTTTAAACCTAAATTATTTTTATTAAACTGTTTCTTTTTTTCGGTCACATTCCATTTATGCTTTTGTGCTCTTGACAACCATCTGGAATTGTAAAAAAATATATATATTTCATACACCGATTTGCATTCCATGCCGGGAACTTTTAAATATGACAAATACCATAGAAGTAAAGCCTTGGGAGATAATTGGTTTCAAAATCAATATTTTGTATTATTACATTCTGCTCATCATGGAACCAGACGTTTAAACACGCAGCGATATATGCTACAAAAAACTTTGCCATAATCATAACATATATTGATCCTCAGCAACCCATTTTTGTCTTAAGACAGTGTATGAAATAAGCTAGAAACCCAGCAGGGCTGGGAACTTCAAAATGTTACCAGCCCAAATGGAATTAAACCAGACCAGACACCAAGAGCTGTTGAATTTATTCAGATGTATGGATTATCTAAAAGTTTTACCAGACCATCGGGCTGGCTTGCTGTTATTTTAGACCGACCGTCAGAAGTCTATCCCGTCTCGAGCGGTCGGACGGGCCTTATCGTTGGAAATCGTTGAAGAAAGACTTATTCGATGCTCTTTTTGATCGACATACACTATGTTATATTGTACCTCAGAAGTTGCCATAAAATCACATGTGACTGTAGACATATCTCTAACCATTTCGTGAGAGTTCGCGTTTCTGTTGTAATTATGTCAAGGTAGAATGAATATAACCTGGTATACATGTATATTCAAAATTGCGGTTCTGAGGTGTCATGTTCGCTTTCGAAAAAGTGAAATCAATAGGCCATTGTTCTAAATGGGATGCACCGGGCTTACCTTGTGTTCACGCACGCACATACATACATTTAAGTTCATGGCATGCCAAAAGAGGCAGTCTGGCTTCCAAAAACAGGGCCAGTCATTTTCAACCGAAAGACGGTTTCATTTTATTCAGTTATTGATGTGAGTTTTCCAGCATGCCGATTATTTACCTTAAGAGGCAGGACACATTTGACAGACGCACTTTATCATAAACACTTCACGACTAAAATGAAACTAATGCAAACTATATATGTGTTATCATAAATGTGGTATATTGTTCTGTTATAATAAGGTGATTTCTAAATGCCCATCAAGCATCTGAGGTGGTTTTCTTTGTTGTGTCCACACATGCCATCGCATCCCAGCTGCGTAGATCGATGCGCATGCTGTTGATCACTGGATTGTCACGGTCCAAATACGGTTATCTACAGACCGCCCCGATGCAGCTGGAATACTGCTGAGTGCGGCGTTAAACAACAACTACCCACCCAACCAACTAACCAATCAACCAACCCTCTTATATCTACGAGACCACAAAGTTTATTATCCCCAAAGAAACGCATAGGTGTTTTGTATTTTTAAAATCTCTATTAATTACCTATTGTGTTCAAACAATCGTCAAAATATGTAACAAAGTGTTGATAACATGATTTTACACAATTGCACAAGTAAAATCGCCTTTACCTGAAAATGTTTATTTGATGAGATTTCTTACAAGGATTAAAAACGCATCGCCACAACACAACAAAAATCACCTTCCAGTTGAAATTGTGCAGCAAGAGCATGCACTGTCTGGCTATAAAATCCGATTACTTTCGGAAATCGGCGTTTTGTTTTGAAGGAGCGACACGGAACATCGCCATTGAAAGAATGCGCGCTGGAGATTAACAATCTTCTGTGGGCAGGCATCTGAAATGTTAGTCTGAGCACGATATCACGGCTTGCAGCTCGTTACAACCAAACAGGTATAACAAATGGCCGTCCCCGTACAGGCATGGACTCGAGATCACCACTACAGCTCAAGATCGGTACATCAGCGTGATCGTTACTGCCACGGGTGAGCGCAGCAGCCAGGGTGCCTGGAATTCGAGCATATCCGGTCAAACTGTACGCAACAGGTTGAGAGAGACCCGACGTCGGGACCGTGCTACGTTGTCACCATTGCGCTCAACGTCTCCATTATCTAAAATTATCCACTTGGTTGTATAGACATTGGCTTCTTGTAAACTGATGTAAACTTCATGCACTAATATCTATTTGTTGACGAGTTATACATGTTTGAAAATACAACATTTTCGCAACAGATTTCTGGCCTATGCGTTTCTTTTTTGGGATAGTATATATATTTTTTAAAAACGTTAGCATATTTAAATTACTTTTCATAATCATTACATTATTTATTGCACACCCTCTTTGTCAATAGTGTCTGCCCCTGTAATTAATGTTATGAAGTTAAGTCATGAAAAAAGCGCTAGTTTCTTTCATACTGTTCTAAACGATACAAGCTGTGTACATGTATCGTTTGAAGATGACATCTTTGAGCCTTTGCGCCTACTACCGTAACAGGTCAAGTAAAACAAGCAAGGTGAGTGTTATATTACACGATACAACACATAGACTAGTTTTAGAGACCCTACGTCCGGTACCGAACCTCACCCATCTGCACTTAGTGTAACCAAGCAGTTAAGACATGTTGACTTGTCAATCATTGATGAAGAAGAGGATATAGTGACAAGTTTGCATACTGTTAAAATAATTCGATGGACATCGTTAACGCCTGACAGTGGTATGCGTTAACGGAAGCAGCACAACAGATCAACAGCAAGTGGTAACTCCAAATTCCTCACCTCAAGACAAGAGTGGCCTAAGGACCAAACTATATTATCAAAACTGGTTTAATAAAGGTATTGTTTATGGACAAGATGTATGTGATGAAAACAGCTTAATTCCATTCATAAACCTAAAAATATCCTTCAATATAAAGGGTACTATACTTGATTACAGTCGTTTATTACTTAACATTCCAAAGTATGGAGTGAGTGGGTGAGTTAAGATTTTTAAAGTCACATCGTTAATATTCAGCCATATCGTGACTAAATTGAAATTATAGATTTGAAGTAATAAAAGGTGAATCATAAACACCTGACAATTAAGGACAGTAAAACAACTACACTCTGTAGATATAAATTTAAAACTAATAATTCAATCTAAAACGAAAGCAACTATAAGAGACGATACCTGCATGGACCCCTAACTGGATTTACACCCATCCCTACAACTGCTGGCAATTGTAGGCAAATTTAAACTCTAAATTAAAATAGCAATATTACTACGATGCCATCTAAATCCAAATGACACAACCTTCCCTCTACCAGTGGAACTAGGGGTAGTAGTTTGTACACCGAAGACACTGGTTATACTTAATATAAATGGAATCACTACGTCACCAATGTCGGCTTTCAGGCTACAGAACCAGGGCAAAGAAAGCGTTGTATCAGCAGTTCACATGGCTGTGGTCAGCATCGCTATGGTGACAGTGTGGGCGTGGTGGTGTTTACAGTACTCGTATCCAAGCTGAAGGTGGCCGGGAAGGACAGTAAAGGTATAATACATGAATTAAAATTTAATACATAGTCAAGAAACATGTAAACTAATGGATATTTAATGTAGGAAAAGTTAAAACAATAAAAAGAAACATTTAACCACAGTCAATCAATTGTGCAAAAGCCAGTTGTAGGTATTTCTGGATTTGAGTAAAACGGAGTCATTGAAGCTTGCTATTCCACACAGGGTCCCTACTGCCTGGACAAAGGGACCCGTGTGCCTCACGGAGCGAGGCAATCCGAAAACAACTGGCTGGTGTGTGATGTGTCCGACAACAAGCGCAGATGGACGGAAGTTCAACAGGTAAAGTGCTATACAACACATCAGAGTGAATGAGCGAATTAATATTTATTGTCACATCGGCAACATTTCAGCCATATCGTGACGGGAACGATTAGAAATGAAAAGTCCGTTAGCGAAGAACAGTAAAGTCACTAGTATATCACGGATATTAAAGTAAAACTAGCATGCTATCATAAACTGTAGTCACAATTCCAATCACGGGAAGTAACTCAGTTTGTAATACTGGAAGTAACGGTTACTACAAAAGTTATCATCCTTGCCAGGTGTACTCTCGCTGGCGGAACACAGCGTTTAATCTTAAGGAAAAACTAGCCGATTTAAGAAAACTCAGTCATATGTCTAAAGTCAGGACATGTCAGAAGATTCTCAGCTACTCTTGGAAGAGTTTAAGAGACTTTCGGTTTTGTTTTACCTGGTTTAAAGACAACATTGAAGAGCAAACTAAGTGACATTGATATACCGAATGACACACAAGGTGGCAGACACAGCTAGTGCAGCTGATAGAACCAGGGAGCTCCACTCGGTCTTACAGCTAGTACCACCGAGGCTAATGATTGTGGTACCAACTTCGAGCTACAAGGTAGATATCATCAAGTCAGAGACGCTTACAGCAAACACAAGTTGCCAGGTTGCGATAGTCCTGAGACTAAAACAAATCGGCGAACTACAACATAATGTTTCTCTAATCAATAGATATGCGTTATTGTGAGACTGCTTTGAGAAGTACTGTGGTCATTTTGACGGCGTCGGAGCACCTCGGAGTGAAGTATCAGGAGAACTAAGTGCTGTATTACGAGCGGAAACAGAAAGAACAGGGAAACGTTTTTCGTTAAAACAATTTTGACCATGACACTGCTAGAATATTTCGCTCATTTGCGAAGATAACTCTACATCATACAACCAATCGGTTATGGGCAGCATGCGAGACTGCGGTAACGTTATCACCTGTATCTTTACGCGTTTACGCGGACGCTAGCGTTCACGGTTCCCAAGGCGGCAGAGCAAACAATTCGGGGTTCACGCACTGGCTACCGGGGGACCTTTTGGCAAAAGACAATTCTCAGCAACAAGTAATTCAGCATCAGCCGACTAGATAATGTCAGAAGCATGAATGACGTTTAAGTCTGCACAGTTGTGTGGATGTTAAGGCCGCTTCATTGACGGCTCGGCGAGGGCATGGAAGGAGTTTCAAACCAGCGACTTTGTTCTATCCAGTGAGTGAGTGAGGTTAGTTTTACGCCAGCTATATGGCGACGGCCTGTAAATAATCGATTCTTGACCAGACAATCCGGTGATCAACAGCGCAGGCATCGATCTGCACAATTGGCAACCTGTGATATGTGTCAACCAATGCAAGTCAGCGATCCCGTTCGTCGCCTCTTACGACAAGCATGCGTTACTGAAGATCAATATTCTTCACGGGTCATTCTACCAGTGACTGAGCATGGTGTTAGATTAAATTTTACTAGCAGCCCCTGGTGAGACGCGAGATTGTGATACATACTCTACATAGATTAGGTTGACAGTTGAACATAGATAAGTCATCCTCACACCTAGTCGCAGAAAGGTCTAGCACGATTTCATAGTATCTATGGGGGATCCAAAAGGAGCATCGGTACTACGTCTTCCCACAATAAAACTACGTCGCCTACGGCATAACCTGAATAGTGTCTTTAATAAAGACACTATAATTATACCCCCATCACGAAGTAACGGGGGTATATAGCGTTCATTCTGTCCGTCCGTCCCGAAACT